GCTTTGCCCTGGCTGAGACTGGCAGGCCCCTAACAAGCTGCAAACCGCTCACTGCCTTTCGCTTTTGACCATTTTATCCGCAGCTGGGAATTTCTATTTTCTTCTGATCCGATTGTGGCTTGAATCTACTTTAGAAGACAATAAACTCTCCCTAGGCCGAGTGAGCCCAAAGAACACGCTCCAGAACGACGGGAGGTTTCTGTACCCTGAAACCCAAACGCTCAACACCAGGCCCTGGGCCGCCCATCTCAAGGTTTTAATTGGTTCACTCAGCCTTTTTGTTTTGTCCAGTTTTACCAGTGCAAATTTTTTCCTGCGTTTTCACCAGCTCTCCTGACCCATTTTACGAATGCTGAGCACAGGTATAGGTTGTTCTTCCTACTCTAGAAAGGTTGTCAGGATCTGGTAGTAAATCACTGTCGAATTGTAGGGCTAAACTTGGTATTACTTTCCTTGATAAGTTTTATTTTCTGGAGTTGTCTGCATGCTCTGCTCCAATTATTACGTTAAATATTGTACAGGACACGTTTCATTCACAGTTTTACAAGATGAGACAAAATTTTTTTAGAGAAATGATCTGAGGGTTAGCTTCCTTCTGTAGTAAAACATGGCCTAATCAATTACATAACTTGGGCCCGGTCATCGTGCCACGCACTGTAATCCCAGCACTCCCAGCACTCAGGAGTCCAAGGTAGCAGGCAGGATCGCTGCGAGTTCAAGGCCTGCCTGAATTACAGAGCAAGACCATATCTGAAAAATGATAAATAAGTAAGTAAATAAGTAATGTAGCTTGGGACAACACCCAACCTTTGTTTTTTTTTTTTTTTTTTTTTTTTTGAAAAAAAACCCCCCTCTTGTTTTTTTTTTTTTTTTTTTTTTTGAGGAAGCTACGTAATGGCATCTGAACACCCTACTTCACAATATTGAATTTGTTCCAGCTTGTTTTCTTTCTCATCTTAAATTCATCCTTAAAGCGCGTATCTCTTTAGATCAATGAATACTTTGACTAGATCCCCTATCACCAAATTTCATTCGTTCAACATTTTTTTTAAAAAAACTAGGGCTTGAACCCAGAGCCTCAGTACATGTACCACTAAGCCACAGTCACAGCATTCAATGAACATTTAGTCGGTGCCTGCTATATTTTAGGTATATTGTTAGACACTAGCAGGGCTGAGGGACAAAAGAGGGAGGGTTCGAAAATAGCAGCCACTGCCCTTTACAGAAATACACCAATGTATAATACATTTATAATCATTTGTTAGGTGTCAAACCCAAAGCATCCCAGAGAAGAAAGACATTTTAATGTTACACATTGTGCAGTTCCTTCTGATACCATCCCTCTAACTAACTCCAGAGCAAGGTAAACTGCATTCCTGTCTGCCATGGCTTACATGCCGAATATGAGGAAGGGAAATAATCTTTTTTTTTTTTGTACCCGGGATTGAACTCTGGTCCTTGCGCTTGCAAGGCAGGCCACCGAACTGCTGAACTAAATCCCCGGCCTGGGAATACTCTTTAAAGACCCTCCTGGCTTGGGCTGGGACCTGGTTTAAATTAAGAATTTATCTTTAGTGCTAGGTCTGGTTGAGTGTGCCTATAATCCTAGTACTTTAGGCTGAGGCACGAGGATCACTGAGTTGGAGGCCAGCCTGGGCTACATAGTTCAAGACCAGCCTGAGCTACAGAGTGAGATCCTAAAAAATTGAAAAAAAATTTTTTTAAAGAACTTATCTTTTTAAAGTTTTTTATATGATTGAAGTTCCCAAGGAAACATTGACCATCTAAAAAGGATGAGAAGACATTTTTCAATTCCTAAGTAACCTCTAAGTAAAATGGTGATAAGCATCATAATTAGCCCAGTTCCCTAGATTTTAGGAGTAACTCTTTGGTGCATAAAAATGTATCCAAACTCACACTTGGAGCAGATGCCTTTACCACCTGCCTTCTTGCTTGCAGGCATAACTTCCTCTATATCTGCTTTACGATAAATTATTCCTACACTGCACAGCCTGTGTCTTGACTGAAATCTTCCATCAAAGGCACCAAAGAGTTGAGGAGCAAGGAAGTGAGAGGCCATTTCCTCACCGCATCAAGACTTGGCTTCCTGGTAACACTTTGACTTCAAGGTGCCTGTAGTTTAGTGGAGAAAAAGGTCAGTATATATATAGTGTATAGGTGTTCAGATAGGGTTGTCAAATTCATCTGGGACTCCTCTTCTTACAAGCTAACAATTTATCCTATTAGTGTCCCATGGATACTGTCAAAAAACATGACTCCAGACCAGGTGTGGTGTTTATGGGGCTGCTGTGAGATGTGTCAAAGCCTGGGTGTCTGAGGGCACCTGAGGACACAATCCTGTTGCTTAGTCCAGATGCACAATAGTGCTTCGTTACATGATAATGAATCAGTGTAGACAACCACAGCTGTACCACAGTCTGCAAGGTTGCCCAGACTGTTTTGTCTTATTGTCTCGGTAAACTGATAAAAAATTACTGTAAGAGCTGTGCTGGAAAATAAAGTTTGGCTCTTGATTTTTTGTGATATCTGCTCCATGTGTATTTTTTTCTTTGGGAAGCTTGCCTGACCAGGCCTCCCTTCAGCCTACTGACCCTGACATGGCACTTGCCTGTAATCCCAGCTCCCTTAGGAAGTTTAGGCAGGAGGATCACCGAATGTTCGAGGCCAGCCTGGGATATGTAGTTCACAGCCAGTCTGAACCACATAGGGAGACCCTGTCTCAAAAGATCAAACCAAAACTAAAAAACATATGACTACTGAGTCAAACACAAAGACTTTACTATTCATGGTGAAAGCAGTCGCAAGAGTTTTATGGTCTTTCTTGTTGGTTTCCTGTGTCTCTCAAATTCTATAGAGGTAATGCAAAGGGCCCTTACAGATCCCTGAAGTGGGCTGCATTCCAAGAAGGGAGCACTGAGCTTAGGGAATTTACCACTTCTAAAGTAGACAGAATTGGGCTGGGGATTTAGCTCAGCGGTTCGGTGGCCTGCCTTGCAAGCGCAACCCAAGTTCAATCCCCAGTACCAAAATAAATAAATAAAGTAAACAGAATTAAGTCTCCTACTTGTAGGTAGGGAGAAGTTATCTCATGGCTCAAATGTGCTTGCTGCACATATTACTCTGAGAATGACCTGGGTGAAGAACTGTTGATGACTTACATTCTTGGCATGATGAGCAAGAATGTTCTGTGCTGTCAGGGCCCATGGCAGATCTCTTTTAATTATAAATGGAGTATTCTGTATACTGCCCATGAAGGCCAGCTAACCTAATCCTGGGGGAAGCACAAGAAGCTTCCTGAAAGAGATGGACATCTATGTCGAACCACGAAGATAAATAGGAATCAGCTGCATAGAGAGGGTAAAACGACCTAAATAATATACTGCAATAAATGTCTCATTCCCTTTCACATTCACTTCTACATGAGCTCCAACCTCAGTTGTAGTCTGTGTGACTCTGGAAAGCCTAGATTCAATACACTTCTATAAGTTACACTGGTCCCTGGAATCTTCACATTAACATCACATAAAACTCACAGCTTATTATTGCCCATGCCATTCAAAACATTTCTACCTTTTCTCCACTCTTTCTGTCTCTGTCTCTGCTTCTGTGTGTGTGTGTGTGTGTGTGTGTGTGTGTGTGTCTGTCTGTCTGTCTTTCAATATACGTGGTTAATAGGGAGACACGGTCTTAACGTTTGGCTACAGTTAACTGGCCCATATTTTGCCACCCACCTCATGCTGAACTAATCAGAATCCTCTCCCTGGGAGATTAAAATCCAGGTTAGAGTGTTTCAACTTGTAAACGATTGCTCTGGATATTCACCAATACATAAATTCTACTTAGGTGTAGAAATAATCAATTGTACACATAGCTATGTATTTGGGGGGAAGCAGTCTACATCTCTCTCTTCTGTCCTGTTCTAGAATATAACTTACTGCTAACCTGCTACAAAACAGCCAATATTTGTTTTTTGAGTTTTTTGGTTTTTGAGACAGAGTCTCACTATGTAGTTGAGACTGACCTGGAACTCACTATTTAGCCCAGTCTCAAACTCACAGTGATCCTCCTACCTCAGCCTCCCGAGTGCTGGGATTACAGGCGTGCGCCACCATGCCCGGCTTAAAACAGGCAATATTAATAGCCTAGTATATATCCGTCTATATGTAGGCATATGTTCTAGGTTTTTCTTTGTTTTTGTTACTGCTTTACAAAAATGAGACTTTGCTTTTCTTTCTCAACAGCAGCTCACTGAATTCTTCCAAATCAGTACAAAAATTAATAAAAAACTATTCATTTGCTGAGCAGGAATTAACACTGCATGTCTCACATTCAATTAAAAACATGTTTAATCTTTCATCAGTGCTCCAAGCAATTGATGACATCAAACACCAGTTAATTCTCCTTTTCTCTGTACATGTGAGAGCCCCTATAAAGAAACAGCAGGCTCTCTTAGTTTTTCTGTTATACATTCAGATATATTGATCTTCTGATGTTGATTTTTTGCTTTTTTGGGCAGAAATGAAAGACGAGAGAAGCAAGCCATGTTTTTTTGTTTTTTTAAGAGCTGGGTGTGATGGCACACACTTATAATTATAGCACTTGGGAGGCTGAGGCAGGAGGATGACCAGGAGTTCAAGGCCAGCCTGAGTTACATGGTGAGTTTAAGGCGAGTCTGAGCTACACAGCAAGACCCTGTCTTTAAAAACTGAAAAAGGAAAAAAAATTATCTGTATGGCAAATCTCATTCAATATCAACCAGAAAATTGGTTTCAATTCTTTGCCCCCACCTCTGATACATTTCTTGGAAATTTCACATGAAAATTTAAAGATGAGACTAAAAATTCAATCAAGTAGAATATCTGTTTAAGTAATTTATTTCAGCACAAGCATTATTTTAAATTTGGACGTTGTAACATTTCATACCTAGAGAACAACCACTTAAAAGATACTTTTAACAAAAGTGCATATGGCTTATTTATTTCAGGAACACAACACAAAACTGCCAGTCACAAAGATCCAGTAAGTGGGAACAGTTTGGCAAATTGGCCTGGAAAGTAAAATACTTACATATTTACACTGCACAATGAAATAGGACATTCTGAAGCATTGTAATGAACAATAAATGGTTAGCTGTAGGGCCTCATCTACCCTCTAACATTCTGCAGCAGATATTTGCTTTACAGAGGTACGAGTTTCCATGCGTTTCCCACCCTTCACCATAGCTGCTGTGTGTGACTTTCCTTCCTTTACCAGTTCCAGGGCACATGTTCCCCTCCCATACAAAGTGGGCTTGTTGTTTGTTTGTTTGTCTGAGCTTAGCCAAGCCTTTGTTAGTAGCAGTTGGGGTTTCATTAAAATCATTATATTAACAATGTAAAGTTAAATTATTTAGAAGGAAGTCGCTAAAAATAAAAAACCTCATTAAATCCTATTTTAAATAGGTTTAACAGTACAAAATTTATAGTTATATTAATCTAAAGTCTAAACATGTTAACGGTAGGTACTTATACTATTGATTCCCTAGGGATATTACTCCATTTACATGGACATTTATTTTAATAATGATTATATAATTTAGAAAACATGAATATAAAAATGACTTATAAATTACTAGCGCTATACCAAAAATGAACATTAAAAAGCAGCCGTTTGTATGTTAAAATACATAGAGATTTGCTATACTTCTTTAACGAAGTACTTTGTAAAAGCATAAAACTATAGAAGGTGCTGTTTTCATGAATTATCTCTTTCTTGATTCTTGAGCCAGACCAAAAAGCAAACATCACAAATAGTATGGAGGAGCACTGGCCACCGATCAGTCACCTTTGAATTCAGACAGTACACTCCAGGCTGGAGTATCTAGGACCCAAAGCAGCTGTGTGTTCTTATCTTCACTTGCCTGTTTTTTTGTTGTTGTTGTTGCTTTTTTTGAGACAGAGTCTCACTATGTAGTTGAGACTGACCTGGAACTCACTATGTAGCCCAGGCTGGTCTGGAACTCACAGTGATCCTCCTGCCTCAGCCTCCTGAGTGATGGGATTACAGGTGTGAGCCACCAGGCCCAGCACATAGCTGTTGATAAAGCCTCAGCTCACTGAAAAAAAACTTCATTTCACCTTTTGTGGCAAACATGTACACTCAGAGTACTTACTGACATAGAATTTGCAACCCGATCATTAAAAAAAATCCAGAATCTTAATATTAAAATGTTAACCCTGAATATCTTAAAATTACATAGAAACTATACCTTAGTATATGAAAATTTTAATTAACTAATTAGATAAAAAGCAAATGAGGAAGGTAGAATTACAAACATATGTTATACAGAGAATATAATGTTATGTATTCTTTGACATACAAGTTTGAATTGAAAAGTTCAGAACACTTTATTTACAATTCTATTGTCAGTGTCTTGGAACTCAAAATTAGAGTTTTAAGTTTAAAAGAGTTGACAGATTTAATATAGCTTCATATTAGTTACCTCATCCTCCTTAGTTTGTAGCTTCCTGGGAACAATGTAAAGTAGCCCAGGTATTTTGCTTCTAGGCAAGACAGGGTTTAGGAGGACAATAATACTAATAATATAGTTCTTTCTGCAATTGTATCAGTGCCAGATCTCTGCCCATCTTACCAATACCTACCATTGTCCTTAGTTTCTATAGATGAAACAGAGATGGTGATAAAAGTTTAAAAAAAATTGTCAGGAAGTGTATATCAAATATGATAAAATCCATTATGCTGACTGTCATAATATGGAGAGTCAGACTGCATGCTCTTTGTCATTCTAGTACATTATCTTCACCAACATCCACTGGTTTTTATCCTGAATCGGAAGAGAAATTCCCAGGTGTTCTATGTGGCAACTAAAGTTAGTGAAGCCAAATTATCAATGGGTATCAGTGATTTACTTGAGATTAATTACTGAAAAAAAACATAGTGACAGACAGTAGAATTTCTGGAAGGTTTGGTAAATAATTCAGCAGAGAAGCATGTGAATCCCAGGAAGTCGGCTCTGACTTGGCATTTTAGGAACTGAGCGAAGACTCCCACCTGATGACTGTGGCTCAAATGCCCCACCCGAAGTGTCCTCAAGGAAAATGAGAATGCAGATAGTTCCAGTTGTAGAGAGAAGAGCAGTAACCATAAGTCAGTTCCATGAAGAGATAGGTACCTATCTCTACCCATCAGTTATATTCTTGTCATAAGCAGAAATTCTATGGCCACTGCCTATAGTATTAGGTCTCTTGGCTTAAGTCCTTGGCTTGATTAAAATGTAGCCCTTAATAATTCAGTGCATCCCCACAAACTGTTTCAGAATAATTTCTATAATAGGGATTCAGTCCCTCATCTGTAACCTCAACATGTTCTCTAAACACCCCTCCCCCAACCCCAGGCCAGGCTGAGAGAGAGAGAGAGAGAGAGAGAGAGAGAGAAAACACCCCTCTAAACTTCTTAAATGTTGATGAATCAAACAGGATGATAATATTTACTCCACTTTCATGGTCCTTGCGTTTTTTTTTTAATATCATAAATACAGGTTATAGACAAGTACAACTTTGTAGTTGTATGGGGCAATTAAACTTTATATGTACAAACCAATAACAAATGTGAAAAAATAGGAGGAAAATGGAAAGCCAAAATTTGTGAGTGACTTAGAGATAAAGTTTGAGGTGGAAGAGAAGACAGACCAAGAGCAAACACAAAGGCAGAAAATTAGCAGAGAACCTCTAAAAACAAGAAATCATTGTTTTTAGAATTCAGGACATGGGTATATAGGGCCTGGAAGGAAAAATGAGTTGTTTTGGTGTAGATACTATCTGTACTAGATCTTTTAAAACCTGTCTTTCAGTAGACATTCAAATTCACACTATTTCCACTGTAAGCTTTTTGTTTTTGTTTTTGAGGTAGAGTCTCCCTTTGTAGTTCAGGCTGGCCCTGAACTCACTACATAGCCAAGGTTGGCCTCCAACTTCCAGCAATCCTCCTGCCTCAGCCTCCTGAGAGCTGGTATTACAGGCATGCGCCACCACACCTGGCTCTCGCTATAAACTTTTGATGAAAAGAAAAATGCACCACACTATGGATCTTTTGACAAAATTTCACAGTTCTGACTCTTTGTCATTTTCATTCAGGTAGTATTCATCATCTGTGGTCGTGTCTGTGTCACAGTCTGAGTCCACTGGGTCCTCCTCATATATACGAAGTGGTTCATTTGGGCTCAAGGTATCTTCTGGCACCTGACTGCTAGGAGAATTTGAGCTTAAAGACTCTGATGGGTTGGAAGAGCTAATTACATCATCTTTCAGGAAGCCAGGGTTCTTAAGAAAACTTGGTTTCCATAATCTTCCTTGTGTGAGTGACCGCTTTACATTCTCCAAGAAAGCTAACTGTTGTTCCTTCCCAAAAATCCCATAGTCAATAGGTCTGGATATAGATGATGCAGACTTGAGACCTGTTTTTGCTTTGCTGCTATACAAAGCCCAGCTTTCACTTTCATCACATGAAGGAAGTTCAGAAAAAGATTTAAATCTTCTACTGTATCCACTGTTGTGAGAGAGCTCGTCCCCAAGGGTCAGCCGACTCAAGGCATTGTCAATAGAAGTGTTTTCAGAAAAATGGCGTCCCCTGACTTTGGGAGGATGACTTTTGCATGGCAGATCACTATGCTCATTGATGCTTTTTAAACTCTTTGATCGATAGAGATGAGGCTCAGGTTCCCACTCCAGAGTCAAATCTCTCCCTTGTTGCTGCTGACAACTGGACCGTGAGGCACTTATTGGAGATTTCTGGGCCGGATCCAAAGGAAAAGGTGGGCTCAGCCTCCTCTGGTCAGATAAGTCTGCTTCCCTGAGTCTGGTGAATGTCAGCTGGGCTGGGGTTCCTGACTCTCCTTCCTCAGCGACTGTTGCACTTATAGAATTCTCATGCTTTGGTGGTGATTCTGAGACACTGAGTTCACGCTGATATAGCTTTGAAATGCTACAGGAGGGTCTAGAAGTTTCTCTGCTGGATATTTCTGTAGCCTCCACATGCGTTCCATCATTACTCAAACTGCCTTCATCTATGGGTTCTGTTGACTTTGGAGTAGGCTCAGGAGCCAGTGAGTTGCATTTCTGTCTGTCAAGAAGTAAGTGGCCAAAGTCAGATTTGTTTCCACTTTTGGAGAAAATAGTAGCTACATGTCTTCGGGGACTTAAATCCTTAGCTGGGAATTTTCTGCTGGCTTTAGACATGGCTAGCAATCTGTGTTTAACCAAAGATCTGTTTTCTCCTTTTTCTAGGTCATTCAAGTTGTCATTATGTTTATTATTTCCTCCAGCATGTAAAGTCTGATCCCATGCCAACTCGCACATTTCATCTTTGACTCTGCTGCTGTCTTTTACATTTACCTCCTGCCTTCCTTGAGGTAATTTCCTGGGTTCAGACTGTAGACTTTCTAAATCTGGTTCACCTGGTTGAGTCTTGTCAACAAACTGTAGTTTATGCAATGTGGGAGTCAGGACAAGGGCTTGGCTTTCTGAGTCAGAAAGAATTTTGTCAATCATTTTTTGACACTCTGGTTCAGTTCTGACTTCCACAGGCTGTGATCTACTGGCATTATCATATATAGCTATGGCTGTGAGATCTTTCTGAGGCCAGTTTCCACTTTCAGTAGATATAATGGCTGTACCACTACCTACACACTCTCCAGAACTTCTTCCAGTTTGGGAATTTTCATCATTAGCTTCAGAACGGGCTGGGAGACCAGAGAGAAAACTGTTTCCTGCATTAATAGATTGTTGACCATCTTCAGATTTTTCGTCTATGGTGCTTTTATCCTGAAGCCTTAATGAGGCGTGCAGGGTTTCATTTTTGCGTGTTTCTTTCCTGTCTTTCTGGCTTTGTGGGATACCTGGAGGTGTTTCAGCTAAGTTGTGTGAGAAAATCTTTCCGGTCTTAGATTCTCCTTTATGAAGAGAAACATCTACCCCAACACAAGCCATTTCCTGTAATGTAGGCCCCGAGGACCTCCTATTTGGTGACTGTAAAACAGCCATATTTTCAGTGGTGTGAGAAAGATGAGTCTGAGTGGAGTTGGCCGGTATTTTTGGATCTTCAGATGAAGATGTTCCTGACTGTTCTTGTGTAGAATAATTTACTCTGTCTTCTTCTAAAGCATTAGGAAATGTTTCAGTGTCCACTTGAAGTGATTCTGTAAGTGAATTGGTACTTTGTGTATACTGTTGAAGGAGGTCACAGAATTTTTTGCTGGGTTTCCTTGGTAGTGTATAATATATTGAAACCACCTCAAGACACTGAACGTTATCTTCATTACCAGAAACAGAAAACATACTAGTAGTCTTAAATTTATGTAATGTTTTCCCACTGTCTTTTTCTGACACCTCTGCACAAAAAGGTACAGGGTCTTCATCTGAAAGAGTAACTACACTTGTCCCAGAGGCAGAGGCAGTGATTTTACCATCCTTTTCGGTGCATTCTTGAGAGAATTCCTTTTGGCCATCTCTAATAGATAAGTTACTTTGCATGATTCTCTCCCATGGCCTTGGTGTCACAACAAAAGCACGGGCGTCTGAGACCAGTGATTTTTTTCTATCTTCTCTTCCAGGTGAAGAGTGTGAAGGACATGATTTAGCTCTTTGGATGAGGTATAACAAGAAAAGCACGGGCGTCTGAGACCAGTGATTTTTTTCTATCTTCTCTTCCAGGTGAAGAGTGCGAAGGACATGATTTAGCTCTTTGGATGAGGTATGGTAGAGGTCCTTTCCTAACAGAAGCAGGTCTTACGACTTTCACACTTGTCATCGTTGCTGTGGCTTTAGATGCCACCGAGGCTGAATCTGAAACAACTGTGGAACATTTGCTCATAGACTCAGGAGAAACGGGACTGAATTCATTTGATGTGTTCCTGCCCGGATCATCCATGTTATTTTTGATTTGGAACGGAGGTGGCCCATTCCTCATCGAAGTAGCCATTATCTTACTTCCTGGCTGCCTGCCATTCACGAGACAACTGGCTGATTTTCTTGGCAAGGTACAATAAATGGTGTTAAGTTCAGAAGGTTTGGATTTGCTTTGATTCTCCTTAATGAGGCTACTGCTTTCAGATGTGGGTAATGATGTAGTATTCATTCTGCTTAACTTTTCAATATAAGATATGTGACGTCTTATTCTTCCTTTTCCGCTTCCACTTTTGAAAGGACAGTAGGAATGGCATGTGATGATTTCATCATTTATAGGCATATGACTATCATTATTCTTTTGGCTATCTAAGGAGCTTATAACAACCTGATTATTTTGGTTCTTGCTAGCATTTTCTCTTTCTCCCGAAGATGGATCTGTGTCTGATTGGCTTCTAGAGTACACTGTGGTAACAGGAATCACAAAAGCATCAAAGAAAGCATCATTTGATGGTGAGGAATCTGGTGGTAATCTTGATAGATCTAAAGAATCACAAGAGATATTGTGCCGGGCAACCAGCTTGTTGCAGCTGGTAGAATGAGTGGTGGAACTTTGTTCTCCTTCAAGATCTAAATCAGCAGGTCCTGCTGGCAATTCTGTATTTTGATTGTCCAGAGGTTCAGAGTGCCAGGAGTTTTTGACAATGTCTGAAATATCTTCATTACTTCCTGTTAATTTCTGGTGACAACTTTGATCTGGGCTAGGGAAAGATGGTGGTATTCTGTTTCTCTGAGTGAAAAGAAGGGAAGCTGCTGAGTTAAGTTTTCTGTTCCCAGGAAAACTCTCATTTTTTTTAAGTTCATTGGGTTTATCTCTGTATGAGATATGCATTTTGGAGGTGTCTTTCCTGGAAAAGCCTCTTGGTGACCCCTTTGAACTTACTATGGTAGATCCATTAAAACCAAGCCTGTCATTTTTGGTTGGGTCTTGGGAGAAGGATTTTTGAAAATCAGGTAAAAGATCTGTCTGTCTGTCAGTCTGTGAAACAGGTTGAGGTATTTCACCTGTCATGTCTGTCTGGTCCATCTTGTTTAGCTGTTTGTCTTCTAAAATAGATTCAGTTGAGTCTTTCTCATTATTTATTTCTGTGACCAAGATATTGGGCTGGGTTTCAGGAAGAGGTGGTGGAGGATCAGCTGGATTGCTGTAGGTTATAGTAACTTCTGTATGGCTTTCTGCTGGCAAGGAGTCTGGTTTATTGGGAATAACTTTCTGCAAAGTGACTGTGGAATTCAGAAAAGTGGGACTCTGAGAATTCCCTTTGTCATCAGGAATCTGGGGGAAGAAAGTTTTGGATGAGGATGTTAGAGTCTGAGCAAGTCTTGATGAATAAGGTTCTTTGTTTATATGTACTTTTATAGGAGAACTATCTTGTTGGTATTCTAAAGCACTAGATTTGATGTGATACCTTGAACTGCTCATAGAGCAAATATTTTGTGTGCCAAAATGAGGAGTCATTTGGTTCACATTATCGTGTGATATCTCCATGCTCTCCAGTGGGGGTGTATGAAAGTCAGACTGCCAGTGACTTGGCTCTTCTTGGCCCCTGAAAACATTTGTTATATCACCGGGAGAAAATGGTTTTGAGTACAGAAAAGGGACACTGTGGCCATGAGCAGTGGGTGCTCTACTTGCTTCAGTGGAAATCATTTCAAAGTCTCTGTCGGAATAAACAAATGGCTTCCTGCTTTGATGAAAGTCAGACCTAGAAAAATGTTCTTCCTGGTGACCCCAGAAAGAACTTTGTCCAAACTGTTGTTCTCTGCTTCGTCTAAAGGTACCACTAAAGAAAGACCTAGCAAATGGGTTATCTTGATGATAGCATGGCATATTCTCTGAGTTCTCAGAAGTGTCAGAACTTACTGCATCATCCATGGGAGCATTTAGATGAATACTTCGGTAAGCATTTTGTGAATTGTACATTTCATATCTCCTATTTCCCTGAAGATAGCCAGGATTCACATACTGGTCTGCAGGGTCAATTTCCATTGGCGATGGTGCCCTCAGGAACTCTTCCTGGTTCTGCCTATCTCTAGAATAGTCTGATCTATTCCAGACGATGGATGATAATGGAGTTCTCTTTGGGATCTGCTGGTAGTATGGTGGTATAAATCTACTCTTGCTCTGAGTTGCAGCTGGAAAATGTAAGCTTCTTGCTGTGAAATGCCGTGTGGCTGCTGGGGCTGATCGTTGCCTGCTGTCAAAACACAAAGAAGTACTGCCAAAAGTATTCTTTTGTGTGTAATCTTCATTTAAGACTCTGGGCTCCCTTGTCCTGTACATATCATAAATTGTCCTTGTTCTGGGAGAGAAGGTTTTAAAACCTTCCCTAGGAGTTCCCGGTCTGAGGATGTCATAAATTGACGTATTGGATGTTTCATTATAGCGATTTTTATGTCTTCCGGTGATATGACCATCCCTGTTCCCAATGGAGGAAGAAGGACTGAATTGTGTTCTTGATCCGTAGTTGTGGGGCATGCTGGTATTCACTGAGCTTGCAAATTGTTCCTGAGCCAGTGTGCTATCCAAATCATCTAAAACTAAACGAGAATATTAATGAATTTCTTGGTTATAATTTTATAGTGTAATAATAATTTGAGTCATGGAAAACCAACTCAAGAAAAATAATGATATATTAATTTTGCTTATGTTTTAAAGATAGTCAGACTTGTACAACACTGCAATACAAGTTTCTTTTTCTTTTTTTTTCCAGTAATGGGAATCAAACTCAGGACTTTGCACTTGCCAGGCAGGCTTGCTGCCACTGAGCTACATCCCTGGTCCAATAAGTTCCTCTTTCATGCTTTTCCAAATAAAACTTTTTCTTTTTGAGGTGCTAAAGATAAAACCCAGAGCTAGACAAGTGTTCTACCACTGAAATACATCCCCCAGCTCTCAAATCAACATTTAAAAGTAAATCTTGAAGGGCTGGGGATTTAGCTCAGATGTTCAGTGGCCTGCCTTGCAAGCGCAAGGACCCGAGTTCAATCCCTGGTACCAAAAAAATAATAATAATAAAATAAAATAAAAGTAAATCTTGGATTCAATCCCTTACCAAAAAAATAATAATAATAAAATAAAATAAAAGTAAATCTTGGGCCAGGGATTTAGCTCAGTGGTTCTGCCGCCTACCTTGTAAGCGTAAGGACCCGAGTTCGATCCCTAGTACCAAAAAACAAACAAACAAACAAATAAAAGTAAATCTGTCATAATATTTTAAGGGCATAAAGCTGTATTTTTTCCTAACAACAAACTGTTCTCAGTTTCTTCTAGGGATTCTGAAGTATATTGAGTTTTTGTAAGATGTGGACTAGTAATAAAATAAAAATGTAGATTACAGTATTAAAACTACCATTGAATAACTAGGCAGCTCAAGTATTAAACAGTTATGTCTTTCTGTTTCTTTCATGTAATTAACTGGTGGCTGTAATATTTTAACTGTTTACCTCATGAAATTGTAATAGAAATGAGTTTGTAAACTATATATAATTTTTCAGTTTTACAGTTAAAAAATTACTGCCAAAAGTTTATCATTACTACCTAATTTATAAGCATATTAAGTTGGATAGATTTAAAAAAAATATGGTATACACAATGTTATTGAATGATATGCTATGGTAGATTATTTTTCCTGAAAAAATTAAGACTCATTAGCACTACTATAATACAGCATTTCTGTATGTCAGGCACAGTTTTAGGCATGTAGTGTATTAACTCATTAGTATTCTCACAGCAATAGTACTATTACTATTTTCATTTTATATTGAGGAAACTGAAGCAGGATGACTGCCACAAATTCGAAGCCAGCCTGTGCTACAAACTTTATGGATCTGTTTCCTAAAGATGCATCACTTTATACCTGAAGTTAAATATTAAACATTATTATTCCATATATTTATCAGCCCCTGATCTGAGAATATTTGCTTAGATTATATTTAACCATAAGGTTCTTCAATACTTGTTTTAATAGCATTTATCAGTATTCTGTTCAGATAAGATAAACATGAGGATTTCAAAAATAAAATACAGGATTTGATATATTTTGAGACTTTAATGCAAACTGAAGTAATTATTTGCTTTGCTTTAGTACCAAGAGTTTTCCAAAAGCGTTTCAATGCATAGACTTACCTTGGCAAAAGTAAACTTACCTTGGAGAAACTCATTCTCTAGCATGGAAACTTCCCACGGAGGAGGCATGCCACTTCCTTCTCTCATGATTGTTTGCTTGGGGACAAATGCACTGTCAACTGGTTGATTTTTTAGAAATGAATTGTATGTTTTTGTCTCCTAATTTCAAAGTTAAAAAAAAGCACATGATATTATTTCTGTATCTCCGCTAGCTAAAATACTCATATGCTCCCTTCTGCCCCAAAGTCACAGGCTTAGTCTAAGGACTACAAATCACCTTTCCTAACATTTATTATTCAATTTACAAAGTTGTTTTTGCCATTTGCAATTGATCATGAATGTCTCTATATGCACACTCTTTTAATTAATTATGAGTGTTGAGGCAAGATACTGAGCCTTTTTGCCAAACTTTCCTGTAAGTTTACACAGAATTACACAATCTTATGGGGTGGGTAGTTCCTGGCAATCAGGAAAGTAACCTCTCAGGAGTTGGAAGTGTTGTCTCCAGGGCCCCAGGGGCTGGGATTTTGAATTTTGTAACACTACATATTCTATCAAGAGGATGTTAGCTGAAGCTTGTAGTGAACTTTAAGATTTGTGAACTCGATGGACTTAGAAAAAAAGAGGATTTTTATCCAGAGTTTATCTAGAATGGTAGACCCCCCCCAAAAGCATGTTGGAAACAGCTTAAACAAATAGCTATAGCCATTAATAGCTATTTGACTTGCTGAGTGACTTAACCTCTATCTTATTTTTTCTCGGTAAAATGCAAATAGTAACAATAACAACAGAAACATTTTTCTTTGGTTTGCCATAAGAATTAAAGATTAAATCAATCGTTTTAGTTTAGTTTTTTTTTTCTTTTTAATTTAGGTGTATCTTGCTATGTAGTCCAACTGTCCTTGAACTCACTATGTAGCACAGGTTAGCCTCAAACTCTCAGTGATCCTCCTACCTCTGCCTCCAGAGTGCTGTGATTATAGGCATGCACCACTATACCCTGCTCCAATTAATAATTTTAAACACTCAGAATGGTATCTGGTAAGTCCTTCTACTGGCTATTACTATTGTCTGGGGTTGAAGAGAATTTCCTGGAGGATTCTTGTAGGTGCTCATAGCCCAGATCTGTCTCACCTGGAGGCCAGAGTCTCCAAATGCTGGCTTTCAGGATCTCAATTGCTTTCTAAACACAGTACATAAAATAGGGTGAGAAAGTGAGGCTTTTTCCAAAATTCCAATTTACTCTGCTGCCCACACTTCTGACATGACTAGACAAAGAAACAAACCTTCTGTCACAGAGTAACCTTAGAATATCTGAGAACTTCCTAGGGCAGTCAAACCTGCAGAACGGCTGTTTGGGCTGAAACCTAAGCTCACTGATACTATCAAATGCCTTGGTAAAGTCAACAAATTAGTTCTTCAAGGCAAGGTGTTTCTTGAAGAATTTAGTCTGTTTTTCTGCCTAGGTTACATTCACCAATGTTTTGGGGGACTTAAAATCACGTATTTGTGTCTTCTTTCATTACTGAGTGCTCAAGTTGTGCCAGACAGTGTGGATACACAGGCGAGTGTGACACCATCCCTGTGTGTGGTGAGTGCTACCTCGGAGCTCCATTCCCAGGGACACAGAGCTGGCAGGAGCACCCAATAGTAGGCCCAGAGATGAGGAGCGACTAAGTAAGTTTTATCCTTATCCTTAAAGATGGTGACTACTTTGACTTTGGGTTCCTCACCTTTAAGGACATAGTTCTCAATTGGAGGCCACTTGTTCCATAGAGAACAAATAGCAATGTGTGGAGATATTTTTCAATGTCACAATTGGATGGAGGCAAGCTAAAGATATCTAGTAGGTAAAGGTTAGGGATAAATATGCTAAATATCTTACAATATATACAATTATTTCTTTCAACTGAGACTTATTCAGCCCAAAATGTCTATGGTTCTAAAGTTGAGAGAAACCCTGAGCTAGAGGATCTCTGTTTAGGTCTACAAAATTTAATTCTGAAACTCTGCTTCTTTTAAGCTTGCATGAATGTTTAAATAGCAAACTGCCTTCTTTTCTGAGTGGAAGGTCATCCAATAAGGGTAGTATGATCTCCCTTAAATCCTCGAATCCCTCTGTACCATTCCTACCCAGCTATCAACCAAGTGTTAGGAAGTTTATCACCTCTAATCTTGGCAAGCATCCCTATGATATTCTTTGTCAAGTTGCAGCTCCCTGTGGACTAACAGGACAAGACTTCTGTGAATAAATAACAGAAATCTACAAGTTGCATAGAATTCCTGGTTTTAGATAGCACTTTCACTATTTTCCCTCTCCTACTTTTCATAGTATGTGTTAATGGGGGCCACAATCACTGACTTGAGTCATTTGTTTCCCCAGCTCTTTCCTTTTATATTGACATGCTTTGAGCAGGAGAATAAAGGAAAGTGGGAATCAGGAGTGAAGTCTGGGTTCAAAGGAGTGTCAAAGAAAAATATCTAGTCACCCTCAGATTAGAGTTTTCCAATTCTAAGAATGCCAAATTAGCTTTACTGTTTTATGACTTCTAGGCATTTATGTTTCTTTTTCTGTGAATTCTTCATCTGCTTCATATCTTGTGGTTCTCAAACAGCGGAGGATAATCAAGTACAGAAGTTCTCTGGACCAGGGTCCTGTTTTCTTAGGAAGCAAAGCTGGATGCAGAGGACATACTCTCAGTTATAGGAGTCCCTGCAGATAGTAATTAACTGGGGTCCAAACACAGGGCTCTAGGATTGATCAGCTGGGGACATTATTGACTTGTAGCTGTAAAGTCATGGGAACCCAGATTTTCTCATTGTGACTCTACCATTTAGTAGTGAGACCTTGAGAATGATCTTTACATTTTCTAAAACTTAACTTCACCTTTAAAATGAAGGAAAGTGGGTAGTACCTATTACATAGATTTTTCTCAGTTAAATGAAATGGCTGGTGTCAAGCGCTTGTACATTCTCCATTAGAGTTAGCAGTAATTGGTGCTGGTGTCAGGACTGAGGTGGAAGTGGATAAAGGAAAGAAACAGGGTTCAGTCCTATTATCCAGAAGGAAGTAGCATTACTAAGAAGAAGAAAGAAGGGTCACTTTTGTTTTTGATGCAAAGAACCACTCTATTTATATGCTCTCCTCAAAAAGCATTCTATCCTGAGAGACACAGAGAGAGAGAGAGAGAGAGAGAGAGAGATTAGGTACTAGTACTAAAGCCACAAAAAGTTGAAAAATACATATGCCCTCCTCTTCCACTCTTACATCCCTCTCAAAGCCTATCTTTCTTTCATTTCCAAACTACACAAGTTATATAGAAAGACATGTGTGCATAGGTCAAAAATTATGACCAGAAAAAGCAGAAACAGAAAACTTCTCAATCTCCTGAGCACGTTAGCCTGGTAGTATACCAAAATTTAAGCCTTTGATGAAAGAAGGTCAGGCTGGGTCAGTCCCCTCAGGGCTACACATTCCAGCCAAGCACACCTTACATCTGAGTTGCTACTCCTCTTTGAATATCAACAAGGAAAAGGTCCAGTCCAGACCCATGCCAGCTAACAAAACTGCTGGTGGCTTCTTCTTCCTCTTCCTCTGTATAACTCTTTGGGGCTGTTCTGGAGCAGCGCACATACAGCCAGTGGTGTGAGTGGAAACATGGTGGCCTCACTCCTTCTGGCAGAGCCTAGTGTTGAGTATCTACAACTGGGGAACCGAACTGCCAACAGCAATTTTAGCTTCTAAAGTAAATTTAAAATTGAGTATATGGAACTCCTATTTAAATAGGCATCCAGGCTGGGCGTGGTGGTGCAGGCCTGTAATCCCAGTACTCGGGAGGCTGAGGCAGGAGGATCACTGTGAGTTCGAGACCAGCCTGGGCTACATAGTGAGTTCTAGGTTAGTCTCAACTACATAGTGAGACCCTGTCTCAAAAAAACAAACAAACAAACAAACAAAATAGGCATCCAACCTAGGATTACAGATTCTGAATTTCTCTCTTTCTCTCTGTCTCTCTTGTTTGATTAAAGGTAGGAAAAGAAACAGGCTTCCAGAGTGAGTTTGGGCCAAGTAAAAGTGGGAAAAGAAGTGCACCCTACAGTCTGAGGGTGGCTACCATGCAAGAGGAAACACAATGACCTAGATTCTGAATTTCTTAGTGTAACCTTAATTCTCTGGGAACTTACCACAGTGGTTTCCCTCACAGGAGGTCCTACGTGGCCATCACACCTGTGGACAGAATTTGAAATAATTTCTTTAAAGAGCTAGACTTTTACCCAGAGAAATATCAATCAATAGCACTTTTACTTTTGATGTCTTGAGAAGATAGATTTCTAATGTTCTGTTAGAAAGACATTTCTTGGATAGTGCATTGGTGCACAAAATTTTAAAAGCTATTTTCTATGATTGCTTAGAATTAATATTTTAAATCTTTGCCACTCAGGCAGCCAAGACGAATTCTGTAAGAGTGGATCTGTATTTGAACACAGCATAAAAATCTAATAAAAACATAATTACATCTATTTAGTGTTTACTATGTGACAGGCATGGTTCTCATGCTCTCCTTCCTGCCAGTAACTCTTTGATACTTTGTTCCTATAAGGTGCATATTATTTCTGCTCCCATTTTACAGATAAGACAATGGAGGCACAGGAAAATTAGAATACACAGTATGTTAGTTACTTTTCTTTCCTCACGGAAACAAAATACCTGACATCCAAAGTTGAAAGGGAAAGGATTTATTTGGTTCACAGTTCATAGAGGTTTCAGTCCATAGTTGGCCGGCTCCAAGACAGGGCAGACAGACATTGCAGAGGAGAAACAACATGGCCCATACAAGGTAGCAAAGGTAACAAGGGAGTTTAACAGCATCTGTCTGCCCCTTTTATCTTATTCAGTCTACCAGGATTAGGGTGGTGTCAAACTAATCACACACAAGTAGTGGTTTAGTAATCACACGCCCTTGACCCCAGCATCACACGCTCCACAACTACTTCTGAAAAAGAAAGTCCGACCTCATGCCCGCGAGGCACTGGGGGGACAGCTAAACATAAACCATAATGCACAGTTTAAGGAATATAATTAGTAGTTGGGCTAGAAGCTGGGCAGAGGCTATTTGAATCCATAATCCTCCTTCACCAGAATGGCACACTGACTCTTCTTGCAAAAGGAAAATGTTTTCTATTTTTGTGCATTTTTATTTTAAAGAGGAAATAGGTCAGGGCCAGTCTTAATCCATACTTGTTTAAAAAGCAAACACCATAAAAATTACTTCAGGGCGATTATTTTTATAAACATGCCTGATTTGTTATGAAATCATTTTAAACATGAACAAATACGCTTTTACTATTTATGTTGCTTCTCAAAAACTGAGAAGGTAAAAAATTTACAATACCTAAGCCCAAAATGGAGATAGATGTTGATCTTTTAAATCTCTGGTCTTCTGCCAAGATGTGCTCTGCCTGAATTCTGATTCAGGAGTAATATAGATCTAGTGACTCAGAGCTCTTTATGAAATCAGATCATTTCCAAAGAATAGCAAGGGGAATAAAGTACACAACAAATTGGGACTCTAGGTTGGAGCAGTCAAAAGTGAAAAGGCGCAGCTCTCCTTCATTCATACTCCTAGAAGCTTTGGGATTCATGAAAGCATAAAATCTGGAGGCCAAATAATTTTCCATCTTAAAGATATCCACATCCACATATATTTTAGAGTTTAGCTCAGATTTTCTTTTCTTTTGAGACAGTCTTGCTATGTAGCTGTCCTTGAACCCATAGCCATCGCTTGCCTCAGCCTGCCAAGTGCTGGGATTACAGGGATGTATCACCATGCCTGAATCAGTTTAGTTCAGATTTTAGACAAAAATTTAAATCAATACTATAGATATTTTTTATATTACTCTGAAGTGCCAGTTCTATTAATAATATCTAGAAGTTAAATACAGGCTGAATATTCCTTACCATTAATGCTCGGAACCAGAAATGTCTTGAATTTCAGGGTTCTTTTGAAAAAAAAAATTTAGAATACTGTCATAAAACTAATGAGATATCATTGGGATAGGACCCAGGTCTAAGCACAAAATTCATTCATATTTCATATACATCATACAGGTATAACCTGAAGGAAATTTTATATAATATTGGTAGTGTCTCTGCATCTTGAGACGTCAGATATAGAAGTTCCTATTTGTGGGGTCATGTCAGCACTCAGAAAGTTTTGGATTTTGAAGCATGATGGATTTTGGTTTTGGGAATAGTGATGTTTGTATTTTTATTTTTATTCTTCTTCATAAATATTAAGTCTGCAAAGGAAACAAGCATGACTGAGGTAGGGACTGATTTTCTGGGAGTTTTTTAATAATAGGAAAGATTAGATGCATAAAGAGCCAAAATACAAGCCAAGATTTGATAAGGGCAGGAGAGAGATAAGTAAGATGCCCTGGAAATGCAGAGGGGCAAGCCCTTCTGAGGATAAGCAGAGAAGGCACTACGGAGAAGGTGGCAGAGACCTGGTACAGAGGCTAAAGAGCAGCATGAGCAAAGGCCTGGAGACAGATGCCTTGCAAGGAGGGTGGGAAACAGCAAGTGAGGCAATTTGCCCAGAACCAAAAGTACACGCCAGGTTGTGCAGATTCTGTGCAGAACCCCGGGAGGCTGTAGCCCTCACAGCACATCCCCATAGCCTAACTCTCAGGAGCTCAGTAGGCCCCCAATCTGATCTGCAGAAAGGGCAGCAGGGGCAGCTTTCCAAGAATGGCAGGCTAGTGTAAGATGCAGCTGAAGGACAAGACAGTGCCTGAATCACAGTTGGTACAGAGGACCACCACGTATAAGGGTATGCAGTGAGTGGAGGGGTGCACACTGACCTGAGGGTATGCGTGGCTGTATTCCACTGCGGACTTTGGTAGGAGTGGGTAGGGCTCAGTTGCCTTGGAAGCCCAGATTCTGCACCCAGTCCAGGCCCTCCATAAGCTAATTTACATTTCTGATGATAGTACTTCCACTTGCAGAATGAATAAAAGCATTAACAGTATCATGAAAGTTATGCTGGTAAAACTCCCAGGACTTGGTCTTTTAAATGGTTACAAAGATGCTTCATCTGCATTTCCTTCTAAATTCCATTACTGCCATGTCTTAGAGATCTCTCACAAATATCTCCACTTTTCCACCTCCAGTTTATTTCCTGGACTCCCATCCTTCACACCACTAACAGAAAATCTGTATAAAATGCAAATTAGAGCTTTTCAATCCTCTGCCTAAAAAAATATTACAAGGAAGTATATAAAATCTTAACACGACACAAGGCTTTTATTTTATCTGTTAAGCCCCCATCCAACTTCCTTTCCACACAGCTCATTCCTCAGAGGTACTTCTCAAGTTATTCTGTCTCCATCATTCTCTCTTCTTTCTATAACCATTGCGGATACCATTCAGAACTTCCCATGTAGTACAGTAGGATAGGGTTCAAGAATATTCTTTTCTAACAGAACCTTGGGTAGTTTTCCCCAAGTGTCGCTGGAGTGCACTTTTCCACCAAGAAGTTCCGTGTGTGACCACAAACAGTTCAGAGCTTACAAGTTGGAAATGGACTCATCATCTTCCTTCCGTCTCATTCCTTCCAATCCAGTCAACAAATCCCGTTGACTCAACTCAGAAATCCCCTCAAATCCATCCTCATCTCCGCGTCTCTCTACCTCTACCCTAAGACATTTATCACCTCATCTTTCTGACTGCAATAGTCCCTTAACTGTTCTTCAATTTCCACTTTTGTCCCCATCTAATCCATTCTCTAAACTTCAGCCAGAACGATCAGCACAGTCAGAATCATGCCACTTTCCTACAGACTTCTGCACGCTCTTGGGTGAACACTGAACTTCTTTTGTGCATTCTTAAGCCCCTACATGATTTAATCCCTGCATACTTTCCTGCCTCGAATCTCACTTTCCTATGTCTCATCTGCCAGAGGGAATTTGATAGACATCTGAGTTTCTGTACATATTGTTTCTTGACCTGAAACACTTTCTTACCAGCTGTTTGCTTGGATAAATGTCTCATGCTTGAAGAATCATTATAAATGTCATTTTCTCCAGGAGATTATCAGGACTTGGTCTAAGATTATACATATACTTCATACGAGTTCCATGGCATGTAGATCTTCTTCATTGCAGCATTATTCTCTCAAATTTCTCTATGTCCTTTTTGGTGTCCATGTAAGACTAAAGCCAGTGAAGGCAAGCACTGTCTGTTCTGTCCTCGTGCTTCTCATATATTGTTATGCAGTTTTGTTTGTTAAATGAATTATTCTCATCACATTTGTTCTTCCTGTTACACTCATGATTATTCACCTACATTCCCAAGGCAGGGTGGAAGAAGGTTCTTTTCCTACCCATTTTCTCCCTCACCCACCATATCCAATTACTAGGTTCTTGTGATTCAGCATTCTAATTTTCTTTTTTTTTGAGACAGGGTCTCACTATGTAGTTGAGACTGACCTGGAACTCACTATGTAGCCCAAACTGATCTCCAACTCACAGTGATCCTCCTGCCTCAGCTTCCCAAGTGCTGGGATTACAGGCGTGCACCACCATGCCCAGCTTCAGCATTCTAATTTTGCATAAATCTTTTTCTTTTCGGTACTGGGGACTGAACCCAGGGCCTTTGAATTGCACTATATTCCCAGTCACCCCCTCTTTAAATTTCTTATTTTGAGACAAGGTCTTGTTAAGTTGCTGTGTTGCCCAGGCAGGACTGCAATTTGCAATCTTCCTGCTTCAGCCTCCCAGACTTCTGGGATTACAGGCATGTGTCACCATGCTTGGCTCTATCTGTACATTTTTGCCTTCTTTATCTCAGCAGCCTCTTACCTGGTCTCTCTGACCTAAATTTTGCCCCCTCAAGTCTTCCTGTGCTGAGGATGGAGAGTAGATCCTCAGTCTCAGCACAGATGACATTTCTTTCTTTTTGTAGGCATCTGTTCTGTTCATTGTAGGATGTTATAAGCATCCCTGGCCTCTACCCTCACTTCATTTGTGAAAAACAAAAACATTTCAAACATTGGTGAATGTCCTTTAAGCACAAAACTGCCCCTGATTGAAAACCAATGAGTTAAAGTGATCTTTCTAAAATGAAAATCTGATTATTTCACTTCTGTATTGAAAATTCAACAATGAAAACACACACAGAGAGGAGAGGAGGGGAGGGGAGGGCAGGAGAGGGGAGGACAGAGGGAAGGAGAGAGGGAGAGGAGGGGGGGCTCCAGGAAAAATATATGATCTGCTTTTGAACTTTTCAAAATGGAATTTGACCTTTCTGCTTGTGTGAGGGAGGCTGCAGCTGTTCACACCCTATGTATCAGGCAAACTGGGGCATGTCTGAGGAGTAGCTAGGTGGATCACCAAAGTGTTTTGCTCTTTGCATATGAAGGGAAGAAATTTTAAAGCAACAGGGTAGGGTGCATGCATACACTTACTCAAAGATGGTAGCTGTCACAACTATGTAGTGAGAGACACTATATGTTAAGCATTGTGATAATCCTTGAAGGAAACAAAGTGTTAAGTTTAATTGTACATGTTATTCATGTGCCTTATGAATCAATTCTCTAGTATTTTCACTTTGCTCAGGCTGGGGACTATCACAAGGGAAGGAATAAGGAAAGAGACCCACAGCCCTAAAATCACCATTACCAACCGGTGGCAAGTGGTTGCACAGCTTGGAGAAGGTGTGGACATCAGGGTGAATGGCTCCTTTAAGGGAGAGGCTTCCTTGTGGAGCATGTTGGAACATGGGACAGAGAACAGCAACGCACATCACCTCTTGGTCGTGGGAGGAGGGCAACCATGGAATAACTAGGGTTTGAACCCAGAAAGGAAATCTGCAGGCCTACTTAGCAGCCAGGAAGACTGCATCTTCAAGCTCATGCCATACACTACTGGATGCGTTCTGAACTACAGGAAGGGAATGTGCGAGACCTAATTTACTGAGATTCAGTGGTGGAGCTGAGCACCGTATGTTAAATCCACCAGCTAACCCATAAGAGGATGTGCGGAAACATCACCTACAGTAAAGTGATGGGGAGGGAAGAAAGCTAGAGGCCACATATGTAGACTTTTATGAAGGTTTTTTGGCTAGCTATACATAAAACACAAATGGAAAATAGTTTTCTTTTTTCCTGGAGTTTGGATCAGGCCAAGCATTCACAAATAGTGTTAAGCCCTTAAAGGGATAATTTGAGTATAGTATAAGGTTGGGAGGAGGAAGAAATCATGTCTGAATGTTTTTGCTTTTCAATAAGTTCACAAAGTCACGGTATTCCGATAGCTCTTTATCTATTGAAAGTAGGAAATCAAAGCTTCAGGATATTATATACCATAATTCCCCCTTATCCTAGGGGAAGGGAGACACGTTCCAAGATCTCATCGGATGCCAGAAATCACGAGTAGTACCAAAAGCTTATATACTATGTTTTTCTCTACACATACATACCTATGACAGTTTAAATATAAATTAGGCACAGTAAGAGATTAACAACACCAACTAATAATAAAATAGAACAATTACTACAAGGTATTGTAATAAAAGTTATGTGACTGTGGTCTTTCTTACTCCGTCTCTTTCAAGGCATCTAGTTATATTATACTGTATTTTTGGACAGTGGCTGACTGTGGGTAGCTAAAACTGTGAATGGGCCAAGGGGACACTGTACTTTTATTGGCTGAGGAGGGTTTCCCCTATCCAGGGTCATTTCTCATTTAAAACAAAAGCTTCAAATAGGAAAATAAATTTCTTGAATAATCAAGTATTTTAGGTATTAACAGAACGTTGTCTTTCACATATAAGTGATGATTCTTTTTCTCTGATTTTATTGCTTTTTCTTTGAATATGACTTTGGGAAGTTAAATCAAAATCCTCTAAATTGCTTGCTGACTTATTCTCTAGAGCACCAACTGTGACAAAGTCAAGCCCTTAATGGCTTCAGCAAGTAGAAACCCGACAAGCACTAGGCACAAGATGACTGCTTTCCCCACCTCATCAATCCCTCCCAGTGTGCTTGCAGGCAATGAGCACACTTCCTTTTGATTCTAAATTAGAAGGTATTTTGAAGGTTGACTTTGTATTTGGGAAGATCAAAACTGTCAAAGAAAGTGAAACCCTACCTGAAATTAAAGAAGACCTCAGGGTATACAATATATAATTTATATTAGCTGCCTTAGTACACTCCCCTTAAAAATTTGCTCCCCCACATTTAGGATTTATATCCAAATATTTAGGTCATACTCAAATTTAAAACTACAAAGTATGTATCTTTGCATTTTATCTTCTGAAAACTCTTAGGAACAAACACCAGTGTATATTCATTATATTCTACACTTGCAGAATTAATAAATACCAATAATAATGGTAATATTGAGGAGATGTTAAATATTCCTATTTATATTTTGAAAGTAAAATATATTTAAAGATAACAAATTCTGAAAACTGCTGGACACTTGTGAAATTTACTTATGAAATTGGTTTCACTTCTGCATGCTATGTTGTATGTTTCAGTTTGTTTAAAAGGAACAACAAGTCATTTTGGTATCAAAGAATATTTGCTAAATGGAATTTTGCAAGTTGTAATTTTTTTCTAATCTGACCTACACCCAAAACATACAATGCAGTAACCTGCAGTATGACCTTGGAAATAACTTGCCCCTGGAATTAACAGGTTTCTGAATTTTTCCCAATTTAATATTAGATATTTAATATTAATATGCAGTTACATTAAACTCTGCTGTAAAGCAAATCACTGTAAATACAAATTACATTATAAATCCTAGTGATACCACATACTGGGAATATTTCTTTTCTATTTAAAAAAATATTTTCTATGTAGGAAATAGTCTTCAATTTCAAATTCCCCAAATGACAGAATTACTAACATCTTAAAAACTTTTTTACAAAGAAAGGCAACTCACCTATTAGAAGAGTGTATCCTGACAAGTGACTCTCGTAAGGACAGTGATGTAAATCTACATTTTGCTTAACTCTTCATGGTCTCATCAGACAAAAAGAGGCTCAGGTTAAGGCTGAAAGTACAAATTCTTTCCTCCACCCAAGAGGGGAAACAGTCCTCGGCTAAGCCTGGGTGCCTCATTACATCCTCTGCCAGCTGCTTGCTGCCTCTTGCTTTTTAGCGACAGTGACCTTCAACACTTTTTATTTAGCACTGCGATGCTTTAGTGCTGTGACGGCACGCAGAATGCATCACGTGTCAAGCCAACACCTTGAGAGGGTGGGAAGCTTTGCAACCGGGAAGACGTAAGGAAAATATTCAGTAGTCAGCTCAAACACACATCAGCATAGCCTTTGTTGTTTTTCTCAAAACAATCTGACAACATTATGAGTTCAGGTAAACTGATTATGTGGTTCTAAACCAGGAGCCAGTGTTCCAAAAGCTTTCTCCACTTCAACTTATATTTAAATTCTGGACAACCACATGGGAATGGCTGCCGTCAATATTTCTGGTAACAAACATGCCTTTTCTTCTATGTTTTAGAATTCTGTTTTTTTGTACTCTTTTTCTTATATTTACTCTCATGTAGTTCAAATTCAACTCCTTTATGACCAAGGACGCACATATTCCCTAAAGGAGTAGCTTCGATTTAAATGGATCTTTCCAGCTCAGGCAGAGATTATGCTTGCTCTCCCAGCAGTGGAACAACTGCTATTTCCCAACATTTAACCCATGACGCACCAACTACACCACCAGGGACATATGCTGCTCTTTAAAACTTGGGAGCTCAGGCGAGCCAAGTTTCAGCTTCCTAAGAACTTTGCCACTATGAAAGCTAAGCCCTGTGCCCTTTGTTACTGTTTGAATTGAAATTCTAAGAAGAAACATAAAGCATTGTGAACACAAAACTGGCAATCGGCTTCTCCTGTCAGATAATTAAGCTGTCGCATGATCTGAGTTTAACTTACCCTTTCCGTCCCAGCGATTGAAGCTTTAAAGATTCCCTCCCAGATTTTCTGAATGAAAACAGGGAAGCAAATGATGATCTGAAGCTCAGTTGAGAAAGAACAGATGTGGGGGTTTTTGGATTAGTTATATTATTAGATCTTGACGTTTGTAATTCCATAGGATCTAAAAAAATCGTAAAATTTTTGTATCATTAAGATTTTTCCACATAAACATGCTTAAAAGAATGAAATTTGGCTCTTGCTCCCCTCTCTCCCTCTATGCAGTCCCAAAACAGAAGACACACCCACCCAGAAGATCCTGAGAAGGAAGGGGAATCAAAGCTCCCTAGCAGAATCCTGTGCCCCTGACGGGTCTGCTAAGCAGAGGGAATCCCCACTGGTGTCCATACTGCATCTTTCAGTGTGTGCCACGCACCATAATTCTATCAACAATCCCTGCTTTCCACCAGCTGTCTCCCCATGGATGTCCAACACTCATGTGAGCCAGCCAGGGAACCCAGCCAATTCTCAGCTTGCCGAACCAACCTATCTTTCAGAAATTTTTATTTCTACTACTTTAAAACAATGGAGACCAGTACTATGTAACTCAATTTTACCGAAGAAAGTAAAGGAAATTAAACAATTTATAGGATTCTTTCTTCCTTTCCAAAATCTATCTCAGTATATATAAATTTACAACATAGATAGTTTATATAAGATAATGCATATAACACACATGTATTATATTTGTATAGGTAACATTGGTTTTTGTCTTTATTATGCAAAAATAAAATTTCATAACAAAATAATAACAATAATAATACACAGAATTGTTATATTCAAAGTAGTTAGAGTACAAGACATAAACCCAAAAGATCTGTACAAAAGAAACAGATAATAACACAAAACTGCTGGGAATTTAGTCCAGTGGTTCTGCTGCCTGCCTTGCAAGCACAAGGTCCTGAGTTCAATCCCCAGTACCAAAAAAACAAAAAAACACCCCACAAAACTTTCTTTACTATATGAGTACTAAAAATTTGAAGACACTGACCACATATACAAAAACTATAATACTGTATTATATTTAGATATGCTGATTTTATAAATGGTAAATGAATTCAAAGTGAGGGCCAAGTCATTGTGGCATATTAAGGTTAATCTAAAAATCTGAACTCTGAATCTTTTTAAACAGTCTATTATGGGAATTGCACGATACTGTCAAAACAATAAATTTAGAAATATTGTTAGATGCTTCATTACTACTGTTAGTAACACGCAAAAACAATATGACTATCAATAATGTTACTGCATTCTGTTTGCATAGTTCATAATTTCCTAATGTACTTTGTTGTTTTCACAATGTTCCTGTAAAAGCAGGTTTTGCCATCCTTATGTATAGATTAAAAAATAATTGTTGAAGTGAAGTAATATGCTGGTATTCACACAGTGAGAATTTCCATAAAAGGCATTTATTAGAGGTCATCTATGGGGTTTACCAACCTCCAGAAGGACAGCAGCTCCTCCCACACTTTCTGTACCCCTCTTCCCTGCTTCCTGCTCCTTTTTCATCACCATGTCATGTAAGTGGTTCAAATTACTATGCTGCAGGTTAATACTTTATATGCATTGCTTTACTGAATTCTCAGAGCCATATTATGTGGTGGATATTGTATTTTATTTAGAGATTAGAAAACTGAGGTTTATATAGAATCAGTAACATGAGCAGACTCACAGGCATAGAAACCACGTGGCAATTTGAAACCAGGCCTTTTTTTCTGCTACCCATATTTACATTTTTAAGCACGATTCTATTTTTCCTGATTCTAAAAACATACTCTGTAAGACATTATCTCAGTAAAATTTCATTTCACTCTCTGTGGTGCATATTGTGTTATAAAATTTTTGTGCCTTATAATTGTCCTAAACTATGCATTGGTTAAATTACAGATCCCCCTGACTCATTATCTACCAGGCTATCCCACAAGTTTAAGAAAAAAAATTAAATCTGAATTAATGTTTCTCACCAGTTTTTGCCATCTCTTTCCTTAGCCTATACATCAGAGGTTGTTTGAACATTTGACTAACATCTGTTTCATTGCAAAACTTTTTTCTTTGAATTTCTTCAAACCATTCACCAGTCACTCCTTGGAGCCATCTGATATCCCTCTTTGTCTTCCGAAGTTTGCTGAAATAAAACAAAAATACCAATGTATTCTTATTCTTTTTTTTTTTTTTTTTTTTTTTTTTTT